ACCCACACCCACACCCACACCCACACCCACACCCACACCCACACCCACACCCACACCCACACCCACACCCACACCCACACCCACACCCACACCCACACCCATACCCCACACTCACACCCATACCCGTACCCACAGCCTTGCTTTATTCTATCTCTTTTGAGACACTTTTCTTTACAATCTCCTTACCTAATCCTCTAGAAATGCAATAAGGAAGCAGTTCGTATATTATAATGGGACGTTATTGATATACTGTTTTTGATCGTATATCAACAACATCTATTACAGTCTATGATCCTGGCGGGAAGGAGAGAGTGTTTTTAAGGCATCTATCACGGTTTTTGATGAATCGTTGCTTAGATGTCTGCTATGACTGCGATGAGTCGCTTATAATGTGTCAGCAACAGTCTGTCATCCCATCTGTCATGAACGGTAGAAGGGGGTACAAATTTCTATTCTATATACTTCAAAACGCCTTTTAAATCATTTTTCACAATAGCGATACGGTGTTACAGTAGCGCTTATAAAAGTTATGTCGTTTAAAGAGGTTTTGCTATGCAGACAATTTTGTCTATGGTAGACGCCAGAAGCGATTCGTTTGTATAATGACGTGTACGAAGGACGAAACAATCATTACGAATGCGTCTTCTCTTTCGCTTTCTTTTTTTGTGTAATAAAGAGAAGTAAGAAGAAAAATACAGCGTGGCCATAAATAACGAGGTAATAAGAAGTTTAAATATCTCCACTAGATGTCGACCAAATGAGCTGAAGTTTTTGTCAGTACAAGAGGCTTGTCCAAAGCCTTTTTCATTAGAGAAACATAGACGAATAGTGTTCCGAACTAGTAATATCTACATCAACAAGGATTTGTCACCAATTACAGGCTACAAAGTAGCATTACTTGCTTTTTTTGCTTTCATTTATGACCGCTTACATGCAAAAATTAAGAGTTCATTGCAACTAAAGCGTATGCATCCACTAAATTTCAGATTAAGAATAAAACATAGGTGTAGATCTGGATCTTTTCTACATCTGCACTTACAAGCATCTCTTAGACATGACTATGGGCTATCGTGTAACGTTTTTTCACTTCGTAACATGTGACAAATCCTCGTTGAAGTAGATGTTACTAGCTCATAACACTAATTGTTAATGTTTCTCTTATAAAAAAGACTTTGAACAAGCCTCTATTACTGACGAAAATTTCAGCTGATTTGGTCGAAATCTAGCGACCATATTTAAATTTCTTATCACATAGTTATTTATGGGCCATCCTGTATATTTAAAAGGAGGAAGGTGTACGGCAATGATCTTCATTTGTACTACTTCCCGTCAGTTAAGAAAAAAATAGTTATTCGTGTGGATGGGAATTGTGGATCTGGATCTGCGAATGTAGGGCAATTCATAAACATCCAGTCTCACAACGGCAAATGCACAGAGATGAACCTACAGCTACAGCCTCACCCACACCAGTTTTCAATCAGGTAGAGCAAAAAGTACTGCCCATGCATCAACGACACCGTTCGCTCACTGTTTAGTTTCAACTTCATGCTACTGTTTAAATTCTTGCGATTGTTTGTCTATTGCAGAAAAGATACTTTTGTTTTTCGAAACAATTCAGTTTCATTTGTCCCCTTCAACACTCACTAAAGGGTGAACGTCGATAATTTTTCTTGCCAAGTACTGCTCAACTCCAAATTACTATTGGCACGGTGAGTTTCGACTTCATGTACTCTACATTGTAATCTTGATGTGTTGTTCAGCAGTATTTCGACGCACATTGACAGTAAACTTCAGCAAAGCAAAGAATACGAAAGAGATTAATCAGTAATATTACATCATAGCGTGCGATAGGAAAGTTGCTTTGAAAGAGAAGGAAACTTTGCAGTGTATTTTAGTCTTTTTGAAAGAAAATAATAGGATAATTGACTCAGAGCTCAACTGGTCGATTTTTTGTGAATGATACCGGCATAGGTCTTAATTCTACCTGGCAGAGTGGATTAGGTGACCCACTGGCGTTTCACAATCAAAAATATTAATGATATTTGTAGGCTGCAATCTTTGTGTAAAGAACCTAAAAAGTTTTACTGATAAATGCGGATTCGTAGTATTGTCCATTAGGGACGAATTTGTTTATTCTTGGTTTTAAGACCGGCTGACTCCTTAACCGCAGGTCCGGATGAGCAAAACAAGATTGAAATAAGCGAGGAGCACAAGGCTCAAAATTGTTGTGAATACAGATCAAAAATGACTGTAAAAATAGGCAGTAAGTAAGCATTCTAATGTAAAAAATGGGGCGCAGTGGATGAATTCAAGGGTGGATGTCCAAAATAAACCACGCACGTTCCATTTCTGGTCAATAATTTCCCAAGATAAATTTGGAATCCATGCTCAGTGTGAGCTAATCTAGAAAATTGTCTGCGGGGATTATGCTCCTTCCAGCAGAATAGCGATGATAGGACGATTTGTTACGGATCCATATTTCGTTTCTTCTGAGCTAAACCGCTGCCATTAGGATGAACAGAACAACATGCCTTTGTTAGTAGAGAGGATCCCTTCCTAATAACAACGAAGTGAGTCAGTCGCCACATGCAGCTGATTTTTCAGTTATTTCTAATGAGATGATGCTGATTCTGATATGTAGCAGTGCATTAACCAACAAGGATTCCCAAATAAAAGCTTTTAGCGTGATTTTCAAAGGATTGAGATATGTGATTTAACTATCAATAATTTTTTTCCTTAAAAAGTTCAAAATACCATGGTTTGGAAATCTCAATTCCTATCTTTCGATAAATCATAAGTCTAAGATTCAAAAACTAGAATATCATGCTCCAAAGGTTCATAATACTATAGTTCGAAAATTCAAGACCGCATGTCGTCTATGTGTCTGTTACGACCAATAGGAGAGGCCAAGGGATCGTTTACTTTTCTTGCTAGATACTTCATTGGTCATCTACAACCGTGTCTCAAAAACAGGCATTCTGAATAGAACCATTTGCATATCTGTAAAAAAAAAAGTAGAAACAAAACTCAATATCTCCATTGTTATTAGAAAGAATCGTTCTATAGTTTCTTTGCATGTGAAATGCTCTGTGATGACACTGGTTTTGACACGAACTGTTCGACATATGTAGTTCTTGGGATAGGAACTGACAAAATAGTTAGAGCTCTGAAAACTGAAATCGAATCATTACAGATTTAGCCTGTTATATATTGTATTCTTCTCTGTCAAGAACAGTCGCTCCCAAAATTATCCAAACACGAAATCTTTCAGTTGCACTTTGATAATATTTCAAACGCTAGTGGATGCATCGTGGGAGCTTCGCTGAAAGTTTTATCTTCCTTCCCACCTACACCTACACTCCCAGAATCGTCATCAATAGCTAGTTTCTATTTTGCCTTTTGGAAGTTTTGTTCTTTCCTTCAACACCAGACTCCAGTCTTATTCGACATGGCTACTGCTGGTGAAGCACATGCTCATCGTACTCGAATCTCTGACGTCGGTCAGGAACCACTTAAAATGCTCTTACCAATCCGTGGATACGATGAAGTACCGTTGGTTACTCTTGAAGAAGCCGTCGAGCCGCTTGTGGCAACGTTGCCTGACATCAAAGACTACGTCTATGTCGCCAAACAACGTTGCGAGGCCGAGCCAGCCGATGGTCTTAGTCAAGACGAATCAGCAGCCATCATGCTCTACTCCATGGAATGGACACCTCGACAAAAATGTCTCTACTACATCCTCAACATCATTCTTCGATCCGAGGACAGACGTAAACTGGAACCATGGTTTCCCTATTTAAAGCTTTTTCTAAGTGGGCTCACTCGTATTCCGTCGACTCATCGATTTGTCTATCGAGGAGTCAAAATGGACTTGAGCAAGCAGTATCCAAAAGGGAAAACGTTCGTTTGGTGGGCTTTCTCTTCTTGTACATCAGCGGTCGAGGTACTCCAGAATGAAGACTTTTTGGGTCAGACCGGTACAAGAACAATGTTCAACATCGAATGCGACAGCGGAAAAGATATTAGTCGTCATTCGTATTTTCAATGGGAGGACGAAATTTTGCTTCCTGCTGCTAGACAATTCGAAGTGGTTTCTTGTCTGAAGCCGGCACCCGATCTTCATGTAATTCAATTGAAAGAAGTCAAACCTCCAATCGTACTTTTGCAACCAGTGTCATTAGTTTCCCATTCGAGTAACAAGTCTGTATCTGGTAAGAAAGACCATTTGTTTGATGCAGTTTTAGTAGAGTGTGTTAAAAGCAATTATCCAATTCATTTCAAACTGGCATTCATGAAAGAGAGAATTTCTCATTTGGCCAAAGATGATCTGAATGCAATGAAAGATTTTACATGAATGGCTGATTGAGCAAAAACGTATTAGTTCCTTTTTTCATGCTCCGATTGTTTCTAAATAGATCGAAGAAAATGCGGTTCTCGCTGAATAGCATTTATTTCTGATCATTTACATCAAATGAGATGTGCAAATTAACTACATCTTCACAGCCACTATTTGTAGCAACGAAGAAGACTTATTGACAATTATTGACGATGATAATTGTATTCATAAAGCTGTATCCCTTTTTGAAATGGCAGTCGCCAAGCAAACTTTGCCTAGAACTGTATTGTTTTTCGTAGTGACTATTCACTTTATCTTCCTCTATATCCGAGACCCTTCTACCGCATTCAAAAGCAAAACTCTGTCAGTCGCATCCGCTTTCTATCACGGTCGACTGATAAAAATTGATGATGAATTTATTCCTTATTACTAGACGCAAAAATCCAGGAACTAAGAAATATGAATTCTTCTACTGTCGAGAAATTATCAGCTGAGCAAACATTATCGTTCAGGAATGATGAGGCTGCTGTTCAGTTTAGCCACAGTTTCGCCATTTCAAAAACCGAAGTAATGTGTTCTCTGTTGCATGGGTCACACTCGTATGCAAGTTTGTTTGAAACCTGAGCAGTAACAAGTCTACTAATGTCGAAAATATTGTTCATAATACTCTTCCGATTTCTGGGAATCGGAAAAATCTAGCGGACGTCAGGTGAAAACTCCTCAATCTATTCTCTGGTACGGCTCTCTTCTCTGTACAAGAAATATTACAATGGCAGAAACACTTCAGTAAGATGGTCTCATGAGAGAGGGTAGATATTTAATTATCGCATAAAGTGGCAGAATTTTATCCTTTACCATACCGATAATAACTTTATTTTTGTTCAGTAGCTACAAAAAAAGACAAAGCAAGCAAGGATACCGAGGGTGTGGGTGTGCGATGGGTGTGAGTGTGAGAGCTGATTATTGATTTCCACACCCACACCACACCCACACCACACCCACACCACACCCACACCACACCCACACCACACCCACACCACACCCACACCACACCCACACCACACCCACACCACACCCACACCACACCCACACCACACCCACACCACC